AGGAGCAGTGGCCAGAGGCTGATGTGGCTGCCCCTGTGTGCCCTCCTAGAGAACCCTGTGTCGGGAGCCTTTGGCTCCAAACCCTTCCCTGTTCATCCAGGAGCTGTTGAAGGAGACACGGAAGGAGCACACTCTGCGGGCCGTGGAGCTGCTCTACTCCATCTTCTGTCTGGACATGCAGCAAGTGACCCTGGTCCTGCTGGGCCACATCCTGCCTGGCCTGCTCACCGATTCCTCCAAGTGGCACAGCCTCATGGACCCCCCTGGCACTGCTCTGGCCAAGTAGGATTCTCTCGGAACCCCAAGTCCCCACAGCAGTGCCGAGTGCCCCTTGCCTGGGGCCGCCCAGGGAGGCTGGGCTGTGGGGAAGCCCTGTCAGCTGGGGCACAGGCACAGAAACCCGCTCTGGGGCCCTCTGACTTTACCCTCTTCTCCTGGAACCCTTTGCCAGGCTAGCTGTCTGGTGTGCCCTGAGTTCCTATTCCTCCCATAAGGGACAGGCATCCTCCCGCCAAAAAAAGAGACATCGTGAAGACATCGAGGTAGGGGACCCCTCTGTTCACTTGTTCATGTGCTCAGCAGACATTTACTGAGGCTTTTGGGGTAGGAGGCACGGGTCCTGCCCCTGGGTGGCTGTGTCAGGGCTTGGCTGGCCAAGCATCTGCAGGGGTGTCCGTGTGAGGGTGTCTCTCATTAGGACTGTGGGAGGGTGAGGGAGGCTGGCCCTACTGAGATGCCGGCAGAGACCTATGGGGAGCTGAGTCTTCCTCACTCCTGTATGAGCTGCAACTCTTTTCCCTGATAACGGAAACCTTGGGAGCCCAGGGTGGCTAATAGTGACCCTTCCACCCTCCAGGATTATGTCAGTCTCTTCCCCTTGGATGACATGCAACCCTCAAAGCTGATGCGTCTGCTGAGCTCCAATGAGGAAGATGCTAACATCCTCTCGAGTCCCAGTGAGCGTTCAGATGGGGCTGGGCAGGCTCCTCCTTTTCCTGGGAACTCACTCTGACTGGGAAAGCTGTGTGGCGTAGTACCTGGCCGCCAGCATCTTTGCTTGTCAGAGAATGTGGTGGGGGGTTGTCCCATTCTGCTCCCACTGCTGCTCTGCTTTCTGCCTATGGAGAGACTAGAGGTTGCTGGGGACTCTCTGGAAGACTGAAGCTCTTCTGCCCAGACCCCAGCCCAGCCCCGGACATACCACCATCCCTTCCCTACCCTTTACTCATCACAAGTGAGCTCATTACCTCAGGCACAGTCTATGCCATTGACTCACGAGCTCTGGTCTTCCTTGCCTTGAAACAGGCCCTGAGGCTGGGCTGGGACTGGGGTTGCTCCCCACTCTTCCTGCCTGAAGAGCACCCCTCCCCTACCGGCTCCCCTTGATGTCATTACTGCTCCCTGCCAAGGGCTGCTTCTGTGGCATTTAATTTTTCTTGTTTCCAGAAATTTCTCTTGAGTCTAGGAAGTTTCTCTAAGGCCTCAACTGTGCACTTGGGCAGAGGAAGGGTGCTATGTCTGCCACCCACAAACCTTATGACCTTTGGCTGGTTACTCAGCAAATCTGAGTCTTAGTGTCTTTTTTTTTATTATTATTTATGATAGAGAGAGAGAGAGAGAGAGAGAGGCAGAGACACAGGCAGAGGGAGAAGCAGGCTCCATGCACTGGGAGCCTGACGTGTGACTCGATCCCGGGTCTCCAGGATTGCGCCCTGGGCCAAAGGCAGGCGCTAAACCGCTGCGCCATGCAGGGATCCCTGAGTCTTAGTGTCTTTATTTGTGAAGTGAGGGTGTGAGGATCAGGTGGTCTGATCTGTGTGCAGCCAGCAGATTGGCACCTGGCGGTGCTCACCAAATGTTCTCTCTCATCTCCCTCTGAGATCTCTGTATTTAGGGCCCCTCTGTGACTCTGGATCTGGGGACTTCCCCACGCCTTCCTCCACGCCTGATGGGTGAGGGCGTCCCCTGGGAAGGGGGGTTTTGAAAGGTTAGGGGGCCTCTGCCTCAGGCTCCCTCCACTTGGCCCCACAGCTGACCGCTCCATGAGCAGCTCCCTGTCAGCCTCCCAGCTGCACACAGTTAACATGAGAGACCCACTGAATCGAGTCCTGGGTGAGTCCTTCCACTGCGCTCTGGCTGGGGAATGGGGATGCTGAGGCCTCACTGGCTGGAGGGGGGGGTCTCCTGGTGCCCCTTCACCCCTGTTATGTGTCCCCATCTCGTTCCTCCATCTCCCCAGCTGCTGGCTCTCCTGTCACCCCCAGGCTCCCATCCAGTCCCACGATTTCCTTTCACACTTCCTCTTTCTGACGCCCCCATTTGGGGGGCACTCTGAGCACTTCTTTCTTTTTGTTTTTCAGTGCCACTACCTCCCAGTCTCTCCTCTTCTCAGATCCCCCCTCACAGAGTGTTTCCCTCTTCCTTCTGCACAGCCAATCTGTTCCTGCTCATTTCCTCCATCCTGGGGTCGCGCACCGCTGGCCCGCACACTCAGTTTGTGCAGTGGTTCATGGAGGAGTGTGTGGACTGCCTGGAGCAGGGCAGCCGAGGCAGCATCCTGCAGTTCATGCCCTTCACCACTGTGAGTGCTTTGCCCCAGGCCCAGCCCGGCCCCGCCTGGCCTGGCCCCACCTTGGAGCTCAGATGGGGGCAGCAAGTCTTAACGCAGATGGGGTTCAAGTACAGCCCTCAGAGTAGGAGGGCTACCCCCGGGACCAGAGCAGCCTCAGTGAGTGGCCATTTGTCTGGCAGGTATCGGAGCTGGTGAAGGTATCAGCCATGTCCAGCCCCAAGGTGGTTCTGGCCATCACGGACCTCAGCCTGTCTCTGGGTCGCCAGGTGGCCGCCAAGGCCATTGCTGCACTCTGAGGGGCTTGGAGTGGCCGTGGGGGGCCATCTGGGGGAACACAGCCCCAGGCGCCTCAGAAGGGAACAGTGAAGGAAGATGAGACATCATTGCTCATATCCATGTGATGTAAGAGCCCTATGTCATTTCCAGATCATTCCCCTATCCTGATATCTGACCTCTAAGACGTCTCCCAGTTTCTTTCTTAATTTCCTCTGCTCACTGCCAGCACCTGAAGAATGTGTGCAGCCTGGCTCTTAGCCCAGGCCCTCAGCACCCCGCACCCCTGCTTGCCCTCTTCCAGCAGTACGTGTACCTCCGAGGAACTTTGTAGGTGCAAAGTTGTGTGTGTGTATGTGTCTGGGTTTTTTTTGTAACACACGAGGGAAGTTCACCTCAACTCATTTGTAAATAAAGACTTTTGTGGGTCCCTGTGTGATTCTAAGTGATGTCAGTGTCCCACTGAGGCAGGGAACAGCATCTTCTCCTTAGAATCCCATGTGTTGTGCCCAGGAAGAGGCCCAGTCCTTGGCTGAGGAGAGCAGGAGAGGTGTGCAGAGGAGGGCTGGGCAGGCTTGGGTTCCTGTGTTTGTCCGCTCAGAAGGGGCAGGACTTCCCTTCCTCGGACCGGCACCAGGCAGTAAGGAGTCAACACACGCCCGCTGCTTACCCTCACACCCCAAAGTCAGACTGAACTCTGAGAAGGGAGAGGTTTTGGCTAAAGGCCCTGCTGGTGCTGGGGTAGGGTGTCCTGTCCTTCTGACGCTCTCTCAGGAGACCCAACCCCACCCCGAGTCTGACTGGCTCCAGTTTGATCTGCCCCTCTCCAGAGGAGGACTAGGGGCTGAGGGGCTGGATCTGTTTAACCTTTGCTCTTCTTGTGCACACATCTTCCAAGTCCTGGTTTCTTCAGGATCAAGTGGAGAAGGAGGGCTCTGAGCCATGCAGCTGGGGGTTCTGGCCCTGCTCAGCCAGCCCTTCCTTTCTGAGGAGCCAGATTGGGAAGGGAAGTGGGAGGTGCCACGGGCAGCCCGGTGGCTCCGGGGTTTAGCGCTGCCTTCAGCCCAGGGCCTGATCCTGGAGACCCACGTCAGGTTCCCTGCGTGGAGCCTGCTTCTCCCTCTGCCTCCCTCTCTCTTGCTGTCTCTCATAAATAAATAAAATCTTAAAAAAAAAAAAAAGGAAGTGGGAGGTGCCCGAAGAGCCAAGGGGAAGCCTTGAGACAGGGGGGCCTGGGGACCAGCTGGCAGTCTGGACTTCACAGGTCTGGTGGAAGCACCGTGGGACCACAGGTGCATCCTCGGCTGGGGACACAGGAGTGCATCTGACCTGTGGTGTGAAGCAGCCCCTCCAATCTCTGCATCTCCCTCACATGCACCTGCCCAGCCGCCCTGTGAGCTCAGGCTCAGCAGCCCCTGAGGCTGAGAGCAGCAGGAAGATGGTGGCTGGCATGAGGTTGCTCCCTTGCCCATCAGAGGCAGAGCCTGAGGGAGAGGAGTGCAGGGCTCAGATCAGCTTGAGTTCTGACCCAAGTTGAAACCTTGATCTCAGATCCTAATCTCTAAACGGCACTTCTCATTCTACCTTTGTGGGCACCTGTGAGCGTGGATGGGCTGGAGTTTATGGAAGATGACAAATATTAAATCCTCCCTTGCCCCAGTGTTTGTGTCTGGACCATTAAGTTTCCCCTTTCCCCACCCCAACCCCACGTTCCCCTCTGCCTGTGTGGTGACCCATCTGTGTCCTGTCCTCCCACTAGGCTGTGTCTCTGTGAGGGCAGGGGCCATGCCTGCCTGGTCTGCTGCCACATCCCTAGCACTTAGCCTGGCACCTGCCCAGCGTCCCTACAAGAGAAATCCCTGCTAAAAGCATGAACATTGATGAGCTAGAGGATGACCTCCTGCACCCCCTCTTTCCCTCCCTCTTGGCTTCCACCACCATTCAACTCCCCGCCTCCCAGCCTCTGGCTGGGCACCAGCTGGACCCAAGAAGGAGGAAGGACATTTACTGGAGACAAACAAAATACTTTATTATCACCAAGTTTGGCTACAGTGAGAAGGTACGGGCAGAGGTGGAGGGTGAAGAGCTGCGTGTTCCTCTCACGTGTCACATAACCCCCCCCATCTTTCCCTCCCCACTTCCAGTCCCCCTCAGTAGGGCTGACACACGACCCGCTGGCCAGCCCTTGAAGGGTCAGAATCCTGACCCTGGTGAGAGTGGGGCAGGTGTCAGGAGCCTGTCATTGTTGCCATAGGGCATCGAGAAAGAGGAGAGAGTGATGCCGAGGCTCCCCATAACTGGAAGTCAAAATATTCCCGAAAACATCTTAAAAACTAGATTCCCCAGCACATTCGTGGGACCCCAGGGTCAAGCCTCCCCACTTTGGCTGCCTCTGCCGGGCTTGATGCCTGTGGGGAAGGGGACGTGAGGAGAAGCGAGACAGCCCACCTGGCACGTGCAAGCCAAGTTGGTGAGGCCAGAGTGGGGGGGCACCCAGTAGGGGAACACTGCTGTTTAAATATTAAACAGGGTTGTTTTGTCTCCCACCTGGAAGACTTCCTGATGCTTCCAAGGGCCTCAAGGTGGGTACCCTTGTAAGGGGGTCACTGGGATTCTACCCAGTGCCCACCACAGAGCCAGGCCAGGGAGCAGTCACAGGAATCAATACTTGGTATTTACCTATCTACCTCCCCGTCCAGGGGACAGGAATACAGGGGCTTTTCTCCCTGCAAAAGCAGGAGAATGAAACTCAGAGACGGCAGGAAGGACCCAAGAGTGCAGGGCTCCTTTCTGTTTGTCCTCATCTTTAAATATTAGATTTAAATAAACATAAATATTAAATAAAGATAAATACACTGGCTGGGGAGGGTTTTGCTCAGGGTTTGGCAAAGTGGCGCAGAGCGCGATATGCCAGCTCCAGGAAGCTCTGCAGGTTGGAGGCCACCAGGACACCTCCTGCCCGGCGCTGGAAGGCCGAGGTGAAGGCTGGCATGGTGCCCTGGGTAGGTGGCACGGCGGGGGCCATTCCTAGATCTTCCATCTGTTGGGGGAAAGATGAGATCTGCAATCAGGCCCTGCTGAGTGGGCATTTTTGAATAAGGAAATGCAAAGGGCTGACAGGCCATGGAAGGTGACACCACGCAGTTAATGGTGGAGTCAGGCCTTGAACCCAGGTCTGTTTCAGGGTCCAGTGACCTGGTCCCTGCCCTCATCCAGGGAGAGCGGGGAAGGGCCACTCCTGGGATGGAGTGGTAGCTCCCGACACACACCCTGGGAATGCTCTCACCCTGGCCCTAAAGAACCGGGATCCCAGGCTTGCAGCCTGATCTTTGGGGACCGGCTCCATCCAGGCCCCTAAGGCTTGCCGCTTCCCATGAGGCTCACCTGCTGCCAGATGTTGATGGCAAAGTCGGTGATGTCCAGCTGCAGTGTGTCCAAGGTGGGCGCTAACTCGGGGGATATCCCTGCCAGGGCCTGCAGGAGGCCCTGGTAGAGGAAGAGGCCGCTGTGCAATTGACGCAGGCAGCCCATCTGGGGGATGGAGTAGAGGAGTCAGGACGTGCTGCCTGGGACGCTCCTCTCAGGGCCCCACATTGGAGCCTGGGGGTCCAGGGAGACTTCCAGACCATCCTTCCCTCTCCTTGTTGCCCTCCTCCCCTCCAGAAACTCACCAGCTGCAGGGCCTGGCTGGAGCAGCTACTCAGGGGAGGCTGGGGGATGCCCAGAGTGTGCCCGAGCAGCACCAGTTCCTCAGGGTGGCACAGCTGGTGGGTGGCACACTGGGGACAGGAAGCATGCTGAGTGAGGGGCACCTGACAGGGCCACGGCTGCTGTTTCCTAACCCTCCCCATCTCTCCCAGGTCTTCCCCTCTCTCCCAGCCCTCCCAGGCCGCTGCCAGGCTGCTCAGCCCCATCCTGCCCTCCACGGCGATCCTGGCAGGCCGGCCCGCCAGCCAGCAGCTGCTCTGAGCACTGTCCCTGAGCACTCTGTTCCCCGGTTCCTAGCCAGGCTTCCATGGCTCCACCTCTAAGTTTCTTCCCTTTCCCTTGGGTCTCTCCTCTCCCACATCCCTCCCTGATCATATCTTCTCTCCCTTCCCTTTCCCACCCTCAGCTCTTCCCCCTTGTGCCTGCCCTCAGCTGTCCGCTCTGGGTCCCCCCTCCCAGCCCCGAGGTCCCCGCCAGTGCTCTCCCTCACCAGCGTCTCCTGCAGCGCTGTGCCATCAGCCTGGACCTTCCTCATTTGCTCTAGGCACTTGAGCAGGAAGCTCTGGGGCAGGGGGCCGGTAGGGCCCAGGGGGGCGGCTTCTTGCACCATCCAGAGTGCGCTGTGCCACAGCAGCAGCTGCAGGGCTGAGAGCAGATGGGGTGGGGGGCTCAGGAGCTCTGCGGTCCACTGCAGGGCCCGGGGGCCCTTCCAGCCCTCTGCCACTCCAGCCTCCCTCCCTGGGGCCAGGACACTCACCGGTCAGCTTCATGGGGCTCTGGGCAGCAGGCTTAGCCGAAGGTCTGGGTGGGTCTGCAGGCTCTGGGCTCTGGCAGGGACGGGCTCCAGAGGGCCTTTATAGAGGAGCCCATGGAGGCCTGGGGGGAAATTACCTGGTGCCACGACCAGGGCTTAGTAATAATTTCCTAGGATTTATGCAAATTTGGTGTCAGGACAATGTAGGGGGGCACTGGGACAAAAAGCTGTTTGCGAAAGTTTTGTGAAATTGTGGAATCTCTGATCGTTCTTTGACGTCTGATCCCCCTCACACTCTTCCTCCCCTCAGCCCCGCCCAGGCCCGAATTGCCCCAGGGTGCTTGATCTGAAGCACTGAACTAAGTGAGCTTGAGCCACAGATAAGAGCCAAGGAGCCTGGAGGCCAGTCAGGCCCACACTGCCCAGGCAGGCCAGGGGCAGCCCCTCCCTCCCTCCCTCCCTCTCTCTCTCCCTCCCTCCCTCCCTCCCCTGCCTGATCTGCGGGAGTAGCCCCCTGGCCCTACCCCCCTTGGGATCCCCGAGCTACCTGTTCCCTAGACTCTAGAGTCTAGAGTTGGAGAGGGAAGAAGCTAGTTGCCCCCCTTTCTACCCCTCAAACTCCCAGGAGGCTGCTTTCCTGAGTCCCCCTCCTGAGAGGCCAGGGGCCTGAGATGGGGCCGTTGGGATCTAGCCTCCTGTCTCCACCCCACACTTTGATGGGCACCATCCCAGGTCCCTGTCTTGAACGGGTTAGCTGGGAACCCCCCACTCCCCCCCATGACTCATTCCTCCAAGCCCCCGGAATCCTGGCAGAAACCAAAGGAAACCGGATGTCTGTCCCAAATGAAGCAAGACCCTTGAGGTTCTGGGGCTCTGGGTTCACCTGACCTTGCCCTTCCTCCTCCTCCTGTGCTCCCCCTCCCTCCAGTGGTGTCCCAGCACTTGGGAGCTGGGGGAAGGTCCCTGACGTGGCTTCCCGCCTGCCAGAGTGTGCGCTGCCCTGAGGAGGAGAAGGGCTGGGGGGCAGAGAGAAAAAACTGCCCTAGCCCCAAACCCCAGAACCGCGCCAGTCTCTGATTCGGTTCTAAACCCCGTGAACTGGGCCAGAGAGGAAGGGCCTAGCCTAAGGTCAAGGAGAGCCGATTCCGGCTCAGGGTTGCAGCCTGGGCCTCAGATCAGACTTGAAGGTTTCCCACGGGCCACGGGGCCTGCCTAGCCGGCTGCCCTGCCACGCCCAAGGCTGTCACTTTCTGTCTCCATTTACCCCAGCACCAGCCAAGGAAGGACACCTTTTGATGAGGAGTGGGTGTGTCTGTCTGGGTGAGGGCATCTCTGGGGCGGGGGTGCCCCCTGGTGGCCACAGCTGGCAGGGCCTTCACCTGTTCACTCGCATCCTGCCTCTAGTCCCCTGTCCTCCCAGGGCCTCAGGGCGCCCCCCACCTCCGCCTCCCGCTGGGTAGCTGGTCACCATGCACTGATTGAGGTCAGCTCTGTGCCCAGCTCTGCGGCAGCAGAGGGATGGGTTTGGAACTGGGGGGCAGGAAATTCACTTCCACAAACATGTCCCTTCATCCTCCCCCAAAGAACCTCCAGAGGACTCATCTGACTCCACAAGGCCCCTAACCTTGTGCTGAGCGCTCTCCACACAAGAAGAGCGGTATGCCTTTCTCTTTTTTTTAATATTTATTTATTTATTATTTATGATAGACATAGAGAGAGAGGCAGAGACACAGGAGGAGGGAGAAGCAGGCTCCATGCAGGGAGCCTGATGAGGGACTCTATCCCGGGACTCCAAGATCGGGCCCTGGGCCAAAGGCAGGCGCTAAACCACTGAGCCACCCAGGGATCCCCAGGTATGCCTTTCAATAAGCCTATGAGGAAGGTACTAGAACCATTTCCCCTTTTACAGAAGAGTAATCTAACCTCAAAGAGGTTAAGTAACTTGGCCAAGTGGCAGAATCAAGGTCTGCTCTGTGCCACAGTCTTAACTTCTTTTGTTTTAAGATTTATTTATTTTATTTTAGAAGTGGGGGAGGAGGGGCAGAGGGGGAGGGGGAGAGAATCCCAAGCAGGCTCCCCATGAGCACAGAGCCAACACGGGGCCTGATTCCACCACCCTGAGATCAGGACCTGAGCTGCACTCAAGAGTTGGATGCTCAACCGACCAAGCCACCCAAGAGCTCCTTAACCACCAGTGTTTGGCCTTCCTCACCAGTGGCTGGGCAGCCCCAGGCCCAGACTCTTATCTTCACCTACAGTCCAAGTGTGTAGGATGTTTGATTGAGAGAATACGTTAATTCTAATGAGGGGGGCCAGAAGGGTGAAAGGACTCAAGATCCCACTTGAAGAAAGCAGACTGTGTTGACCAGGGGAAGTGAAGGAGGGGGTTTGTTGCCGGGTCTCCAGGGCTGGAAGTGGCCCAGGGAGTAGAAGCCACAGCCGGCGAGTTTTCAGCTCCACAGAGGGAAAGAGCTTTCCAATGATCAGAAGTGTTAGAATATGGAGTGGGCAGCTTCCAGGGGAAAGTGAACTGCTCATCCCGGGAAGTGTTCTGACATCCATTCCATAGGGAGAAAATCCAAATGTTGGCTGACACTTATTTGACACCTCTTGTACATCAAGCACCTTCCATTACACTCTTGTCATTTCATCCTACAAAGCTAGTAAAAGGATGTGGGTTACTCCCACTATAGACAAGGGACAGCCTCAGAGAAGCGAAGGGTCTTGCCCAGATCACAGAACGAGTCATGGCAGAGCAGACAGGATGTGACACCAGGCTTCTCCAGCTCGCATCCTCCCCATTACACTACCTTCCTGTTCAGATAACTGTATTGGAGAATGGCTCAATCCAGACTTAAGCCTTACCTGAGGGACAATAAGGGCCAAGTAGAGAGCCAGGGCTTGTTAGAAGCCATGATACACTGGCAAAGGCACTGGCTCCAGAGACCCCTACTGGTCATTCCGCTGTCCAGCCTCCTAAAGGCTTTCCCAGGTGTTTTCAAAGACCAGAACCGGTGGCGACTTCCCCTCAGGCTTCCTGTTTTCATCTGGTCCTGGACTTGGAGGCTCTTTCTAAGGCCTCTGGAGTGACTCATTTGTTGCAGACTTGGCCTGTGAGCCAAGATCTGTACACCTCGAGCTAAGAATGGGTTTCACATTTTTAAATGGTTGGGGGAAAAAATCAAAAGAATATTTCATAACATGTAAACATCCTATGAAATTCAAACCCCAGGGTTGTTAAATAATTTTGTTTACATATTGTTTATAGTCGCTTTCAAGAAGTGCAGCACTGAAATGAAGAGTTGTGACAGACCATATGGCTCAGAAACCTAAAAAATGTGCGATCCGGCCCTCTAAGAGGTTTGCACACCATGTACACAGTCCCCTGTAGCAGGAGACTCCCGGAGCTGTCCTCAGTGGCATCCTATGTCCTAGCAAACCAACGCGCCCCAGTCGGGGAAGGGCTAAATAAATCGTGGTCCGATTTATTTCATACCACATGCGCCTCCCCCACCAAGTCGTCACAGGATGAAAACTCCTTGAGGAATTTGCAGTTTCACAGTGCCTAGGACAGTGCTGAGCCTGGTCTCACCACCACTAACCTCAAAGCCAAGACTGAGTGGAGAGCAAGTTACATTCATGTGATATATCATTTCAAAGATTTAAAAGTGCAAGACAATGTAACAAAATGTATTAAAGCATAAACTGGAAAGCTACCCAACTGGATTCATCAGAGTGGCTGCCTCTAGAAGGTAGGCAAGGGTCTGGGAAAGGAACAAGAGGGGAACCCTGGGTGGCGCAGCGGTTTGGCGCCTGCCTTTGGCCCAGGGCGCGATCCTGGAGACCCGGGATCGAATCCCACGTCGGGCTCCCGGTGCATGGAGCCTGCTTCTCCCTCTGCCTGTGTCTCTGCCTCTCTCTCTCTCTCTCTCTGTGTATGACTATCGTAAATAAAAAAAAAAAAAAAGAAAGGAACAAGAGCGGCTTCACTTGACGTGTAACAGTTTGCCTTGGTTGAGGAAACTTGCATGATAACCAGTGTCACCATTTATTAAACTTGGGTGGAAAGCACATGGATGTTTGTTATTCTTCCTGCTTCTCTATTTTTTTAATTGTAGTTTTCTATTTTTTTTAACAAATATTTTATTTATTTATTCATGAAAGGCAGAAAGAGAGGCATAGACACAGGCAGAGGGAGAAGCAGGCTCCATGCAGGGAGCCCGACGTGGGATTCGATTCCGGGACCCGGAATCATGCCCTGAGCCAAAGGCAGACACCAGGTGCCCTTCTGTAGTTCTCTAATTAAAACACCACCACCACCCAGAAAGTGGAGAACACGGTGAGCTCTCCAAGCATAAAAAGGGCAATAAGCTTCTCCGGGAAGAGAAAACCAAGCTCACGGGAATGAATTACAAGAAACTTCCAGACAGCAAGCAGACAGAAAAAGAGTCCATAGACTCAAGGTGGGTGAGAACCAGGGAATCACAGCAAGCCATGAAACCCTTAAAAAAAAAAAGTCATGAAACAAAACAAACAATTGCACCATCCAGAGTGCGCTGGACCAGGGCGACCCACTCTCTGGACCAGGGTGACACACTCTCCAATCTGTTACCAACCAGGAGAGGGTCTGAGGGACTAAGGGCTTGGTGCTAGGATTTATAACCTTGGGGGTGCCTGGCTGGTTCAGTTGGTAGAGCATGTGACACTTGATCTTGGGGTTGTAGGTTCATGCCCTACGTTAGGTAGAGAGATCACTTAAAAATTGTTTGTTTTTTCTTAGAGTGCATGAGTGACCACAGGGGAGGGGGCTGGGAGGGGAAGAGGAAGAAGGCAAGAATCTTAAGCAGGCTCCACGTCCAGCGCAGAGCCCGATGCAGGGCTTGATCTCACAACCGAGATCATGACCTGAGCCAAAACCAAGAATTGGTGGCTTAACCAACTAAGCCAGCCAGTTGCCCCCCAAATAACTTTTTTTTTTGAAGGGTTTCATTATACGGCAGGTGGCAATTTTTTCTTTTAAAGGAAGTGGCCAATGCCAGATCACTG